CTCTCTCTCTCTCTCTCTCTCTCTCTCTCAATCAGACATTAAATCTGATGGAAAGGATAGCCAAACATAAAATAGGGTTTTATTGTTGGAAACTATTTATTATAAACCGTTTTCGTGGATATGAAGTCAGTATTTGTTATACAATTTGTTTAGTATTTGAATCATTTTTAAATTCTAACTTTTGTTTTACAGATCATCGCATTCTGTGCTCTAATATATCTCCGTTTAATAATATAAAAGTTAACATGTAAAAGTTAGTTTTCTAACAAATAAGTTTTATTATATTTCAAAGTTATATTAATGATATTTATTTAAATATAAAGATTTCTCAGGCGACAATATATAAAGGTAATTACGGATTAGATAGATTTGGCTATCAATTCTATATAAATTATAAATTAATAAATATAAATAGTTTAATATTTACAAAATATTTTCTATTGTTAACTTAATTATAAAGGGAAAGGAGTTATAACCCATTTATCTAATAACTTTATTTTTATTTATCATTACGTTATTGTTGCTATATATATTATTACAGTTTCTTAATTTATTAAAATGTAACAGTAATAATATTTAATTAATTATATAACGTTAGTGCGTCAATTATGTTATTATCATGGCTATTTAGATTAATTCTGTTTGAAACATTTATTAAATAAAATAATATTGTTATTAATTTATATTAATGTTATTTAAATATTGTAAAAATAATTATATTTTTGACTTGTATTGTAATAAGAGTATATACTAAACACATAATTATAAATTTAATTATAGTCTAGATTAATTAGATAATATCAAAATAATATTAAAAAAATTAATCTAAAAAATTACATTAATAATAATTGGTAAATTTATAATAATTTGTTTATCATGGTTATATTATCCAAAATATATATTTTTGTTATATATTTGTTAGTAAATGTTTAACAAAAATACATTATTACAGTTTTTAAAATATGAATAAAATTATTGCACATACAATCATTGACAAATTGCGGATTTTAACATTAAATTGCTATAACCTTGATCAATTCTATGAATAGCAAACAAAATCATGGTATCCATAATATGAAAAGAAATAACAACTAATTTACATAAAAATCAATTTAGACAAAAAACATATCCGGGACATAAATTACTACCAATACACAATCCATGGAAATCCTTTACAAACACTTTCTCAAAAAAATGTTTCCTGTTAAAAATTTTCCACACAACACATCTTAATAAAAAAATATAATTAACATTGTTATATTTTAATAATAAATTATTGCAAATAGTTATAATTATTAAAAATCATTACAAATACAACAATTATGGTTATTGCAATCCAACTAATTCTACTAACATGCTACACACTATTAAACCATCTCATTCTGGGCAACATAACCACAACCCAATCGCCAGTAGCCAAAGGGCGACAAGTATTCAACAACAACAATAACAACGAGTTGGGATTTGTGCCCATTGAGCACATATGTGGCCTCCCATTACACCGGCGTATAGTCGGTGGCCGGGAGGCTGAGCCGAGGGCTTTCCCGTGGATAGCGGCGTTGGGCACCCAGGGTGAATTTCTACCATTTTGCGGCGGAACACTAATATCCAACCAATACGTGGTGAGCGCCGCCCACTGTTTCCGTAACCGACGCCCAGACCAACTAGTCGTACGACTCGGGGCTCACGACTTCTCGGTACTGCCCGTCGAGCGGGACGCCCGGGACTTTCAAATCAGCTGGGTCAAAATGCATCCCCGGTGGCAGGGTGTCGACACTGGCGACTACGATATAGCCCTGATCAAATTGACGCCCAACGTGGTATTCTCGCGCTCGGTGATGCCCATATGTTTGCCCCCGTGGCGTACCCGCCCGACCTACGCGGGTGAGTTGGCTACGGTGGCCGGGTGGGGTCGCACCAGGTTCAATGGCTACCAGAGTGAACGCTTGATGCAGGTGGAGGTCCAGGTGTGGAATAACTCAGCCTGTAATCAAGCGCTGGCACCCAAGGGCTATAAGGTTACGCCCGGTATGATGTGCGCCGGCGATCCCAAGGGTGGCAAAGACTCGTGTAATGGCGACTCCGGGGGTCCGCTGATGATACAGGAGTCGACTGATGAACGCTGGCTGTTGGTAGGGGTGGTGTCGTGGGGTGTGGGTTGCGCTCAGCCCAATACGCCCGGCGTTTATACCCGGGTTAATGAGTACGTCGAGTGGATTAGAAACACTATTCAAATACCAAAATAAGTGGTATCTATTAATTAACAGTGTTATGTTTCTGTTGTAGTTGTATACTTTATTTATAGTAAATTAATAGATGTATTGATTAATATTAGAATAATATAAAATTCATAACAGCAATATTTATAAATTATGCTTCGTTACATTATTATTTAAATCACACTGTATTTATAGCTTTATAATATTATGTAGTAATATCATTATTTAATAAAATAATAATTTAAACCAATAAACTCATTTAAACTTTAATGTGTCTTTTGTGTTATAAAACTATTAATAATAATATTGTTTTGTCTGCCGTGTAATTACTAGTATACTATACATTACCCAACATAACTAAAATAATATGTTTATAACAGCGATGTTTTCTAAAACAACAAGTAATTTTATAAATTTTATTGCATTATTATTGTATTATTTAAATTTGTTATTTGCTAATATTGTCAATATTTGATATAATATTTGATATAAATAACATATACGTGCAAAATATATCTGTGTAATATTATTTTACAAAATATTGTAGTGCACAGTATATTTAAAAAAACGTTTATATTATGTTTAAGAAATTTACTAATTCATCATAATTACAAAACAATATCATACTTACCAACAAATATAATGGTTAAGCGGTGGACACCAGACAAACCCATACCCAGTGAATGGCGTGTGAAGGGAGCGGACAGTCATCTCTACCGAATCGGGTTATCGCTATTTAATCCCGATATCAATACTTATCGGCGATTAAAGCGATTTAATCCGCTGATCATATTCAGTATAATGTGTCTAATCATGGTCAGAAATATATTTTCTATTTGGCACTATCAGCACTCAATTGTTTTACCACATGTATATCGCATGTGTTTGGGTGACATGGATTATTTTCTTGGCACTAAATTTATAAACAACATGATTATATTCGTAAATACCTTATTTGTGTTAATTTCGCAGTTTATAAATTATTGTAATTATAAACGTGGTGTAAATGGGTGTGATTTACGTGTGTTAAGCGTAATCGCCGGTCGAATACCGCCCATCAGTATTGGCATAACTGATAAAAGATTAATCCAAAAGCTTTGCCGTAAATGTTGTCTATTAATAATGATTGGCCGCTTGTGTACTAATAATATTCCGCTTTTGTCTTTAATATATGCTAGTATTATATTTTATATAAATAACGAGCTCGGTCAGTTTATTATACTTGGTTTGCCAAATGTCATTTTGTATACATTATGGACTTACTATTGTTTTCGTGTTATTGTTTATCAAACCGTGTATTACATAATTATCGCTTATTATTTTGACATAAGGATCAAGCACATTAATAGAGATATTAAAATAAATAAAATTATAACTATAAAAATAATGAAAGTTATTAATAATATTTATGTAGATATTGATTCTCATAATAGTAATTATTGGGCACAATTTTTGTGCGGCCAATGGCTAATTTTAAGCAGCGAGATTAGTTTATGCCTTTATTTATCAATATATGGCCAAGGTCTATTTATTGTGAAATCACTAGGATTTATTATGTGTTTGTTTCATACATTATATCTATTACTTATAATCCATATTTCAGCCACACTTTATAATGAAGCAAATTTAACTTATATTTTGGTTAATTCATTAATATGTCGGTCATTTAGTTTGAGATTAATTTACAAATTTAAGGTATTAAGATTTGACAATTTTTGCTTAATGTTCACATTTAAAACTCTCTCTCTCTCTCTCTCTCTCTCTCTCTCTCT